GAATAAGTCGGAGGGGGAGACGAACTATGAGAGACGATTGACTCTGAAAAACAAACTGAGGGTTCTAGAGGGGAGGAGGGTGGGGGATGGGTTAGCCTGGTGATGGGTATTAAAGAGGGCACGTTCTGCGTGGAGCACTGGGTGTTATGCACAAAAAATGAATCTTGGAACACTACATCAAAAACTAATGATGTATGGTGATTAACATAACAATAAAAAAGAATGAAATCTTGCCATTCGCAACAACGTGGATGGAACTACAGGATATTATGCTAAGCAAAATAAGTCAGAGAGAGACATATACCATATGATTTCACTCATGTGGAATTTAAAGAAAACATGAACATAGGGGAAGGGAAAGAAAAATAAAATAAGATAAAAACAGAGAGGGAGGCAAAACCATAAGAGACTCTTAACTATGGAGAACAAACTGAGGGTTGCTGGAGGGGATGGGGGTTGGAGGATGGGGTAATTGGGTGATGGGCACATGTTGTGATGAGGACTGGGTGTTATATGTATATCATTAAATTCTACTCCTGATACCAATACTACACTATATGTTAACTAACTGGAATTTAAATAAAATCTTAGGAAAAAAAAGAAAATGTGTATAGAAAACAAATCAGTTCTAGTTTGTCGTGGTTCTACCTGCCCCCACTTATAATTCCTAGGAAAAGAGATATTCCAAATCTCAAGGGCTATGATAAATGAATAAAATATGATGTCAGTAAATCCAAGCCCATATTTATAATTTTTGTTTTGAAATCTTTGACATCTGTCAAAGAACTATACAATGTTTATGACATACTGTTATCAATGTATTTTTTTATTTTAATGAACATTTTAATGTTAATATAACAGAACATTATGAATACAGTGGAAACAAAGTTTTGTCAATTTAATAAAAAAAATTTCAACACAAAGTGGGGAAGTAATAGTTTGATACCTATATTATAGTATTTATTTTTAAAAATATTCCCAGCTTGAGGGTAAAACAATTTTGCATTCCAAACTCTAGAATCATGATTTTCATGTGAGCTTAATGCAGAATTACAGCAGGAAAACGAAAACATTTTAATTAATTTCCTTTATTTGCCATTAAATCACTAAAATCTTTGACTGCTACAGGTCTCCTTTAATATATAACTCCTCCCTATTGGAACCATATTGCTAATGCCATATTATATACACTCAAAACCAAAAGAAAATGAATACTGTATAAAATCTAAAAGCCAACATTGTTGAGTTCTAACATTTATATTTAACTTAAAGTTTTAATGAATTTTTACCTTTTCAATTTTTTGAAAAGACACCAAAAAAATAAAAATAAATATTTTTCTCTTTTGACTGTTCCTGACTGATAAGTGGTGGCTACAGGGATAAACACGGAAGGAAGCCTTGCCAAGTTAACCACTGCAAATCGTAAATAATGACTGCAAAAACCAAACAAAAATACTGGAGGGTTTTTTTTTTCTTTTAAAGGAAACCATAGAGCAGTCCTGAAAAAAAATATTTTTCCTTGTTCTGCAAAGGATAATTATAGCAGAAGATATGGGAAAAGTACATAGCTATCACCAATTGCTTGAAGAGGTTTCATTACAATAAAAATTTGGAGAGTATAATAGTAATAGCAATGTTGCTGGAACATTAGCAAAAGTATATACATTCCAGTTACCTTTGATTTAGCCATAATCACATATGTATGCCTTTTTTGGACAAAAATATATATTTTTATAAAAAACTGATCATCCAACTTTAATGATTTCATTTATGGACTCAAGAGTGGTAGTAAAAGGAACAGACCCAATTATGACAAGGTGATTCAGGGACAGAAAAATCAAGTTCCTCAGGAAAAGAACAGTATAAAATTGGAGATTCAAACACATTTATTCAGCCCTATTCCAGTCTTCCCACAAATCATGATGTTAAAATGGGCTCTTCAATTTGTAAAGGCTTTCAAGGTCTCAGTACCCCACTTGTGGTCTATTCTCACTGGGAAAAATGATTTTGACTGCCTTATCTGAAGTGCCCTTGCCTGGCCATCTGAAATACTAGATACTTCATTTTATAAAACAGCCTTTTTGGTTCTTTATGTAGGTTTATTTTAATTAATTGATAAAAGGGGAGTTGATTAGCATTTTCCATCCCAACATCACCTATCTTCAACATTAAAAATCCTTCATTCAATCTGCTCCTTTACAATCTCTCATTTGCTAAAGTTGGCGAAATTTGCAAAGGCATCTTGCTTGGGTTGCACAGTTCCAGAAGTCATGGCTAAGTTAGGCATGCCCATTCCCTTTGTGCCTGTGAGGCCCATCCCAGCAGTTGACATCCCCATGTTCATGTTCATGCCCATCATGCTCTGGTTCATCATTGGAGTATTTCCAAGAGGGGCCATTCCCATGGTGCCAGTCATCACACTGGGCATGCTCATAGGCATGGGTCCCCCCATCAAAGGGTTAGTTTGGGGCCAGACAGGAATTATATTTGATGGAGAACTGAGGTTCACAGCTCCAAAACTTTGGGTCATCACATTCATAGGCTGTTGCATCATTGTATTGAGCAATGGCTGCTGGGGTTTGGAAGGCTGCATTCCAGGTAGTAAGTTATCTAGGCTGATGTTTACACTGGGGTCAGACCAAGTAGAGGGCAGGGTTTTGCTGACTGGCTTCTGGACCATATCTATATTCTGTGATCTTGACATGGGCAACCCCAGGCCTACAGTATTAGTGCTCATCATAGAGAAATTCATACTCTGGGAAGATGTCATGGTTGCCTGGGATGAGCCCATAAGATCAAATAGGTCCGAAGAATTTGAGGCAGCTGGAGGTGGGACTAAAGCTGGTTGTGAGCCACTGAGAAGTTCTACAGATGGCTGTGAGGCACTGCCAAAGAGCTCACCACTGGAGGCACCAGGGCCTGATGGGGCTTGGTTGAAGGTACTCCAGTCACCAAAGTCTCCATTCCCACTTGTTGCTGTAACTTGGGAAGGGAAATTGCCTGATGCAGCAGCTGAGCCAAAGTCAGCAAATCCTCCAAATAAATCAGCTGATCCTCCTGTCGACTGGCTGGTGCCATCAAACAGATCAACAAGGTCACCGGATGACTTGCTGCTAGGCACTGAAGTCTTAAGTGAAGACTGAGGTGTATGAGTTGAAGCATTCTGATCTGGACTTGCTTTGTCCCCTGTGTAATGTGCTGCTGCTCTGAGATCAATGGTTTTAGAAGGATTTGCTGTGCGCTTGTGTCTGGTTGTGGTGGTCTCTGTGGCCTGTGTGATATGGATATGTTTTGTCGTCACAGTCTCCTCTTCATCTTTGAATTCACCTTTGGGAGATCTGCCTCTTCTTGCTTTCTTTTCCTCATCACTGTCACTGCATCTTTCTGGAGAGTCTTCTCTATCTTTCCTCCGGAACTTGTTGATGGTGTCATCAATTGTGCTTCCAATTTTATCACTCAGTTCACCTAATTTATCACTGAATGGAAAAGCACTCTTGTTTTTATCCCACTCTTCATCCCATTTTGATTTGGCTTCAGGATCGTATGAAAATTAAGCAATTATTGCTGAGGTAATCACAGGGTGCTCCTCCAAGACTGCTCTTCTCACCTTCTTCACCAAAGCCTCCTCTGACCTTCTCTGACTGCAGTTTCTTTAAGTGTTGATCGAACAGCTATCGGGAGCATGACATCTACTTAGTGTATGGGAGCGACAGGGAGAACAGAGCCCCCTCCCAGCCCCCAGAGTCATAAGGGAGTCTGGAGACAAGCCACAGTATTAGGAAAATGGAGAGATACCATATTAGGATGACAAACACAGGGAGACAAAACAAGAGAAGCAGCAAAGCTGCTCATGGCTCAGAAATGAGTGTTTTAGATGGTGCGCCCAGGGAGTTTGGGATATTACCTTCTCTGGGAGTCATGAAGTCCTTCCCTCTTGAAATGAGAGACCATTTTCTTTTCCAGGTTGTGTAGTACTCAGTTTATTGTCCCTTCCAAGCGAAGTGTAGTTTTCATTCCTTTGAATTCTCTACTGAGAGATTAAATGAGTTAATATAGAAAAGTCCATGACCTAATGCTTGGCACATAATATCCTTAATAAATATTTGTTGACATCTCTCACACCTTCTTTCCCCACATTTTTTCAAAAGTGGTCACTACAATAGCCCATAGCAAGGCTTTTCCTCAGGAGGTGAGCTACATTGATGCCGAGGGAGACACCTTTCTGAGAGAATTTGGAAACCCAGAAAGGAGAGGTAGTGGGGTTGAGGGCAAAGTAATAGCTGGGAACCATGTGAGTCTAGCGTGCATATAACTAACTGGTGAACATCAGTAAACTCCTGTCAACTTAAGACCCAGTCACAGAGGCACTGTGGGAAGCAGGCCAGAACGCTTCCAGACTACAGGCTTGTGGCTGAGGTTTGAGGCAATTAAAACAAAACCTTAAAACAAAACCTTATCTTTAAGCAAGTCTTTTGACTCAGTATGTGAAGTCAGAAATAGAGGCTTAAATGTAAAGAATTACTTACTTGTATTTCAAAATCAAGTAAAAAATACTGGGGATGTTGCTCTTCTAATTTGTTCTTTGATGTTGGATCTTACTTGCATTTTAAAACATTTTTAGGGGCGTTTGGGTGGCGCAATCAGTTAAGTGTCCAACTCTTGGTTTTGGCTCAGGTCATGATCTCAGCTTCGTGAGATCCAGCCCCCTATCAGTGAGCTCTGCGCTTAGCGCCCACAGGGATGTCTGCTTCTCTCCCTCTGCCTCTGCCCTCCTCCTTCTCATGTGCACTTGCGCTCTCTCTCTCTCTTAAAAAAAAGTGGGGGAGAGTGGTGTCCTAAGTGGGGTGAGAGATGACTTAGACTATAATTGCTTTATAGTGGTGCCAGACACTGTCCATGTAACTCTTAATTAACCAGAAGAATCTGGGGTCATATGAAGGACTCATCAGTCATTTTGGTCAAGGAAAGGGATTTATACGTTTAGGGAATTATTTCTAGCAACAGCAGTTCTCCTTGATTTCTAGAACAACTCTTTTGCCTTGTGACTCAGACCCAAAGATTTGAATCACTCCAGGTAGGAGTTTGTGCTAGCAGACCCTCGAAGGCTGTGTGACCTCTTCCCTCTAGAGCAGCCCCTGTTGCGGGGCCATAAGCTCATCTGATTCACCTGCTTAAGGGCTCATCTGGTCTCTTAGTTTTCTTAAACTTGGAACAATTTCCAGGTTTTGTTTTTTTTTTTTTCACAGATTAACGTGTTTGAAGAGCCCAGACCCTTACCTCCACCCTCACTCATATCTAGAAACTGACCTAATAATCACTACCAGGTGATTGACAGTCTTCTTCAGTCTTTGTTTAAACACCTTTAGTGACAGGAAATTTAAAATGCCTCCGGAGCCAAGCCGTGAAGTTCTAATCCTCCCTTGTCTCACGACCTTGGGCAACCAAAATAGTCATTACTGGCATTAGAAAATGTAACAGTGACTCATTTCTATATCATTAGATATAATGTGGACTGTATTTCTGCACTCAGATTTCTCCAATTTTCCCAACAATGTTCTCTGTAGCTGTTTTTTGTCAAAACAGGATTTGATAAAATATTTTGCCTTGTATTTCCTTTAATGTAGTCTATAGTTAATCTAGTTGATGTAATTTCCTTTGCTCCAGAATAATTTCTCTGCTTATTTTCCTTTTTGTTTTCCTACATTGACATTTTTAAAGAGACCAGACAGGAGTTTTGCAGAACATCCCTCAATTTGGTTGTGCATGAACAGGACTATTTAGTTTTTTGACAGCTCTGAATTCTGAGAAGTCCTTCCTATACTGAGCTAAAAATTTATTTTATTTTATTATATTATGTTAATCACCATACATTACATCGTTAGTTTTTGATGTAGTGTTCCATGATTCATTGTTTGCGTATAACACCCAGTGCTCCATGCAGTACATGCCCTCTTTAATTGTCATTTCTACCCACTGATGCTAGTTTTAAACTCTTCAAATAAAATAAAAATAATCTGCATGGTAATTATTTGTTGAAAAACAATGAATGAATGTTCATGAGCTTTCAGTAAAAATATCCAGGTGTTGGGTGATAGACTTTTGGTGTCTGGGAACACTGGACATGGTGCCCATCTGAGCCAGAGTACTCTCTGTCTAGGTGTCTGGTCCAGCAAGCCATGCTCTTAGGAGATAGCAGTTGCATTCATAGTGGAAGGGGTCTCTCTCTGTCAAATAAATAAATAAAATCTTAAAAAAAAAAGTGGAAGGAAACAAAAAGGAATCTTAAACAGAAAAGGTTGTAACACTTGGCATCTTTTGTAATTTTTTTCTAGTTAAACACGGGGCGGGGGGGGGCTGGTGAGGGGGTGGGGGTGGTGAGGAGCTTTGCTTGGAAGAAGGGGAGAGATGTGTATGCCACAGAGGTGGTGTGGACAGTTTGTAACTGTAGCAGCTACGAATAGTGCCTGGGAAGATTTTTAAAAAAGGTTTCGGCCTTTTTTGTTTGTTTGCTAAGGAGAAAAATCATGCTACCCATGTTTGACCTTACTGGAATCAAACACTATGCTTTCACATCTACATTTCTAGTGCAACATTATTGGCAAACAAGCAGTTTAGTAATTCATACTAACAGGAATGTACCTGGAGATCTGAAAGTCTAAATAATCTGTTCTTGATAAACACAGATACTCTGTGAATTTGGCAGTGTCCCTCAGGAGCTGGGAATGAATCAAGTTAATGCAGTTACTGAATGCTCTGAGCAAAGCCCTCAGAGGATTTAATCTAAAAGTTGAGAATAAGGCTTAACCTTAACGCAGGATGAGATGAAAGGTAGATGAAAGCAAAAGACTGAAACACCTGCTTAGTGGAAAAGGTGCACAAAGCAGAAAGTGGGTGATTTCCAAGTGAACTGTAAAGACCATGGTTGTCAGAGAGAGGCAGAAGAGGGAGCAGGGATGTGAAAGTCCAGCTCTGCCTTTAACCTTGGGAAAATTCACTGGATCTCTTTCCACATTTATTAAAATAGGAACATTGGAGTCAATGACTTGTAACATTCATTCCCATATTAATGCTCTTTAATTCCGTGACTCTCCAAGGAGGCTCTATGATGGAGGTATTTGTCGTGGATAAGATTTGGTTGGGGTGGGAAGACTTGCAACAGGTAAAAATAATCGACCACCTCCTCTTTACATGAATGACATCAGTGGCATGACCTCCACCATTATCATCACTGATTGGTTGCCTATGAGGTGTCTTGAGGATAAGAAGTATTTTAATTGATATCCTAGGTGGCTACAGGGAAAAGATTGATTTAAATCAATGTTAGGGCTTTCATTCTGTTCTGCCATGGGGAGACATTTCTAGATTCTACTCATCAGCATTTTAATTTGTACAAATCATGTCCTCCTGAATCATAAACTGTATTTCTGGCATGGCCCTCACCCAAATCTCTTTGTTGTCAGTAGTCCTCTCTGGATTAGCTGAACTCCCATTCCTCTGGTAGTTCAACGCTAGGTGACTAGTTAACAAAATTAACTAAATTGGGTGCCTGGGTGGCTAAGTCGGTTAAGAGTCTGACGTTGATCTCAGGTCAGGTCTTGGTCTCAGGGTTGTGAGTTCAAGCCCCGCCCAGCATGGAGTCTACTTAAAACAAAAACAAAAACATTTAAAATTAACTGAGTAGCCACCAACATAGTTTCTTCACATTCACAGGATTACCTCTCTTTGGTTATCTCCACTGCCAAAAATGCCGACCCCCTTAATAATATCTTTTACCCATAGTGGCTCAACAGCTCCTGTCCCACTACCACCTGGGATTGTCACTCATTTTTGGATGAACTATATTGATAGACTCTGTTGAAAACTATGAAATCTCACTATGGTGGGGGGGGTGCGCTGGAAGTCTATACATGTGCTTACAATAATTTGTATAAAATTTCAGGGACTTACTATAAACCCTCATTTTAAATTGATCATGAAATTAATTTTTTTTTGTTAAGCCCACATAAAAAAAGAATGAAATTGCCTTATTACATGATTCAATTCGCTAATTTCCTCCACACTTCAGGATGGTATAGTCTCAGGGATGTGGTTGTGTCACCAGGATTTCTGTCAGGCCGATTTCCAGGTTTTCACTTAAAATGTTCCCATTAAAATCCTTTTGCAAATCCAGCTGCAGGAATATAAGACCCATTTATCTGAATCAGGCTGTGTCTTTAATTCTGTGTTGGATAGTCTTTCTGTCATTTGTTTTTCTTTTGTGGCTGTAACATTTGTAACTGCTCCTTCACTCACATAGCTTCAGTCAGGTGCATTTAATCATAGGGTAGGCGCCTGTGAACCTTGCTCCTTCCATGGAGGAGAGGCCACCTCTAGACCCTTCCCTGGGGTGTGGCAAGTCAGTGATACTGCCATGTGGTCAGTCACAAAGGTCATTTTGTTGGTCCATTTCTTTGGGGACAATAGGTAATAAGAACCTCCTATATGAGTTTCAAAACTTTTATACTGTTCTCCAACTACCATGTATAACTTCTACTTTTGCTGATT